TGTGCATGTGTGTTTGTGGATGGTAGAGCGACAGTGAGAGAACCTATGGAGAGAACGTGTGTATGTTTCTGGAAGTGAAACGAGGAAGCAGAAAAACAGAGGTCTGGTCTGTGATGTATTTTGTGAAACAGAAGAACAGCTAAATAAATGCAACGGCCTCCCAAGAAGAGCTCGCCTCTCTCCAGTCATTTAAGCTAAAGTGAACCTGAAGCTTGTTGCTTCTGCCCTCCTCGACTACGGTCTGGGAGCCGACAGGAAAGTTCAACACACAGATGGCCAGTCCGTAGCATATTATTTCGATGAGAGATGAGCAGATCGCCACTGGGCTTTCAACTAAATACACAGCCACGCAAAAACTGCGGCATTTGTACAGCTCCTTATGGGTACTGCAATTAGTGAAGTGCTTTCCTCCGTGGTGAAACGATCAGCACTGCTCCACGGAGGAAAGCGGCAGAAAGTCACCTGGAGATAAAGAGAGCGGGGCTGCGTTACGTGCATGGCTTCCTTCTACAGGTAACTTGGAGACGCGCTCTGGCGGCGGTCTCGTTCAGGATCCGAAAATAGAATTAAAATATTTTGCACACTTATTCCACTTATTCCTAGTGTTTCACTGGTTACGGTGCCACGTGCCAATGGTGGCACGCGTGCCAGGGGTTGCTGACCCCTGGTCTACACAGTCCTCACAATAGCTGGCTAGCCATATTCATTGTTTATATTTGACATTTGGGTAATAGCTGAAAATGCATTTTGAATCAAGATGTGTTGTATACGTCTTCAGGCGAGAGACAGCCAGAAGTCAGTTAACAGACTGCAGGAGGAGCTGATGGCCAGTCAGCAGGAGAGTGACCGAATGCACGGGGAGCTGCAGCAACTCCTCCTCCAACTGGACACGCACATCAGGTGGGACACACACTCACATTGATATAGATATTTACTTGGAAATAAAACTAACTCCTGATAACTACGCATTTCAGATCAACTGGATGGGGTTATAGCATCATTAGTAATAATGACACGTGGAGAAGTATTTGCCTCCCCTGAGGTTAATTCCCTCTGCTCTGCCAACCAGGAAGTACAACGAGAAGCAGAGTCAACACAAGAGCAAGCTGCGTCAGGCCAAGCAGGTGTTCCTCAAGGAGACAGCGCAGAGGGATCGCATCATCCAGACACTGGAGAACGACCTGATGCTGGCCTCCAGCCTCTCTCACAAGGTCTCACATGCACACACACGCGCGGACACGCATACACATACACACAATGCAGAAAGCTGTCTGTTCTTTTAGCTCTATAAGAGATGTTTGTGAGAGACAAATATTTTCTAAAGTATCTCTGTTTTTGTATATTTGTCCCTGGTGGTTTTCAGGAGAAGGAGCGGATCCACACAGTGACGGAGGAGAATGAGAAGCTTTTGGGGGAAAAGAGGGATTTGTCGAGGAAGATAAGCGAGGCAGAGGAAATGGGCAGCAATGGCATGCGGACCGCCTCCACTATCCAACACAGGTATCTTAATGAATCCTACATATTTTATTTATTTTTTACAATCATACCTTCTGCTCTGTGTTTTGAAGTGGCAGCATGAGTATCTGGGTATCAGTATACTTTTATTCCGAGTGGAAATTAAGTATTATTATAAAAAATGCGTATGTTAACTTGTCGGAAATATCTCAAATGGGGCTCTCATTGATCAGAACCCCTGTTGTTTTGAATGGATTGTTGTCTATTGATAGGTACATTTTAATGCTAATTGTGTGTGATTACTATTGTCATTATTTTTGTTATATATTTCTATATTATGTTAACCTAGTTTTCTCTTTTTTGCTTTTCATATTGGTCTGCCTTACAAGCCTGTGGTTTCTTGACCTCTCCCTAGACAATGTTCTTATTATCTATATTTTATGAACTCTTATGTTTAAACAAAAAATAGAATGAATACTATAGAAACATGTGTTGGTAAGGGACACACAGGGTAAATCGTTTTGTGAGTGACTGCTAACATGAATCTGCGTTCTAGGGTCAACGTGTTAGAAGTAGAAAACAGACAACTTCAGGATCGATCCCTGAAGCTCTCCAACCAAGTCGGTTCCTTAGAGCGAGCCCTGAGGAACGTCCAGTCTTACTACAGCCTGGAGGTAACGCCATTCAGATCTGCAAGCCTAAATGGGACATTTCACCCCAATTTCTCAGGTTTCATTTGTTGTTTCAAAAATGGTCATCAAGCATTAGCAATATTAGTCTTTGCAGTTTTACTCAAAAGTGTTTCAAATGCTCAACAGAATGCCAAGAAAGTGATCCCCTCTGAAAATCTCAGTGATGGCTTCCCACATACATCTGCGCTAAGGTGAGGGGTTTTTTATGAAGGGAAATTGTTTTATTAAAACTATTTGATTGATATGTTCCTTTTTTTGGTATACTTACAATGCTGTTGTTGGAGCAAAAGAATATCGCTTTAATAATCCTTATAAGAATTCCTAACATAAATTGTCTGCTACAGTACACCACACATTGATATGCTAACATACTGTATAGGTGAATGCTTGTTGTGCATTGTCGGCCATTTCTCGCAACGTCTGTATTTCCAGTCTGACGTCAGGCTCGTGTGACACTCTGGACATCCTGGATGCAATCTGCCGTGTGAAGGTGGGTGGCCCCCGGGTGTCCAGCAACCAACCATCGGAGCAGAGCTACCTGAATCTCACCTCTCCATTGGTTCCTCCAGACATCAGAGGCCCGGAGGGGAGCTCTAATAATAGTGAGCAGGTATGAGAGGCGCGAGGTTTACGTAGGGACGTTGCCTGTGTTAGCGACAGAGAGCGATCAGGGAGGATCAGATCTGACCTTTTTCTCCACTAAAATTAGTTCTGTTCAAGTTCTGTGCCGGTGCTAGTGTCGGATTTAGTTCAGCTTGCAAACTTCCTAAGAACCCGTTTGCTTTTCCACTGACTAGATCCCGAGAGGAGCCCCGTCATGACGACATGGTGTATGTCAGCGGTTTTCAAAGTGTGAGGAGCGCCTCCCCTGGGGGGCGCCAGAGAGCTTCAGGGGAGGCGCAGCGTGAGACACAAAAGAACGAGAAAAAGACGAGTAAAGTGACACTTGCCCACTTGTGGCTGTCTGTGGAGACCGAGTTCCCCCACCTCGCCAAAAAGGCTGTAAAAGTGCTCATACCCTTCCCCTCCACCTACCTGTGTGAGTGCAGGTTTTCCGCATTGACTTTGATCAAAAGCAAGTACCGGTCAAGGCTGCAGCCAGAGTATGATCTGCGTTTATTCCTGTGTGCATCAAAGGCGCAGACTCATTGTTCCCACTAAAGTAGGGGTGAGTGTAATAAGGAGGCAAAGTTGACGTTCAGTGTGTTGCCGGGAGCATATAAGGATGTATCCACCATGTTGAAAATGTTAAAAAAAATATGTCTTGAGAACAAGGCGTGCAGAAATATACGGCTCGTGCTGCAGCTAGATGTGCCTGTCCTCTGTAAGAAGGTGTAGGCGACTGACATGCAAGGAAGAACGGCTGTCCACAGGCTGTTCCAACTTTAACAACTGTATTAACTTCCAGGGTAGTGAATTGAACATGCAATTGTAATTGGGTGTGTGGTATATTTTCATGCACGGACACGCATGTTCCACAACACACAAACTGAACAACACTCCATTTTCCGATCGCTACCAGTGTCCTTGCGATCTTGTTATAATAACAAGTGCACGTTACTGATGCAATATGGTTGAGACCATTCGGGCTTATTCTAGAAGGGTGCAAGGAATAGTCCAAGTAGTGGGGGAGTTTTATACAATGTTTAAAACATAAAAATAAAAAGGTTTAAAAAAGTTATTGTTTAATGTTTTAAGGAGGTGACGCTACTCAGCCAATCAAATCGGTGCAGTCAGCACAATAGATTCAAACACACACACACACACACACAGAGACGAGACAAACAGTCGGAGTAATTTCAAATGGCGGAAGGCAGACAGCGAAAACAGAGCATTTAATTACATTTTCTCTTACTGGACCTCTTTGAAATGCAATTGAATACCCCTGCATTATAGCAACAACAACAATAATAATAATAATAATAATAATAATAACAGAAATAATAATTGGGAGGGGGGGCGCGGCTGTTCTTATGTTCTCTGAGGGGAGGCTCACCTACCCACACTTTGAAAACCCCTGGTGTATGTCACAGCTTTTACGCCAGTGCACATTTTTCTCACAATAAGAACAATGAAAGAATGCATCAGAGCTGAGCTCCTTTTGCACTTACTCTTATGAAGCAACATTGAATTGCAAGACCATTTTCTCCTTGTCTCCAGCAACTCTCTACTGCTCTTCGTAAACACAATGAACTGTTGTTGCTCTAAGTATTCTTGCTCCAGCCTCTGACGAATACGGCTCCGGGCTCTTGGTGCAGGCCGAGCAAAAAGTCGGTGCTCGAGTTGAACCAATTTTCAGTGGAAACAGGAAAAAGTGGATTCAAAATGTGGCTCCAACTCTAAACCCGCCTTGGAAATGCCTCTTGAAAAAGCACTAAAGGTCAAGTAATCTGCCACTTCCATTAGAGACTCAATATCTCAAAATAATAAATAATCCTTGTTAAAAGGCAGTAATAATGAACGGGAGCTGGCACTGCGGCTCTGCTCAGGGGGATATCTGTTTTTTATTGAAAAGCAGAAGCTTGTTTGGCTTCTTTTTTTAAGTCCAAAGTGATAATGTGAGGGATTTTAAAAAGGCATGTGCAAGTGTCAAAACATTTGAATGACAAACAGGGTCTAATGAGAGCTTTGATTTGGGCGGCACAACCTTATACAGTATGTTTGCCTTTCACGAAAAGTATACATTTTTTTATATATCAAGGTACAAAATAAGACAATGTAATTCACATGAGACAGCGAATGTCAAAAAGACATTTAACAACGAAGATTTGTTTGAGTTTTAAAATGAGCACTTTATATGAAGTTTACTTTTTTTGTGTGGAAAATGTAGCAGTGGATACTAACGGTATATCAATGGAATATATTTCCTCCAGTTACTTCTCGCAGTGTTTTCAATGAAGGAATGCCTTGAGTGTTGTTTTTTGAGTTTTTAAGGTGTCAAAACATCTTAAAACACATCAACATTCTTACAAGTTTACAAAGTCGTACCTATATTGTAAACAACATTTATAATATTGCGATCTACTTTATGTATAATAAAAGACTGTGTGGTAACAGAGTACAAACATTGGGGTCCTCTCCCAAATCCCTCCCTCATATAGCTTCTCAGCTGCAGACACTCCAGTATTTACGATATGCAGCTTTGTCTGTGGAGATTTTTTTTGTCTATTTCAAGCACCGAACGCTGTTTTTTTTGTATACATTGGTCAACCTCAGTGGTTTCCTCCAGGGACATTCAATCACAAAGTACTCTGGTACTAAAGAGATGTGTGTCATGGGAATAAAATACACTTTTTCATACCACCATTTTTTGTCACTAATAGAATTGTACACTTTGAAAATGTGCCTGAAATTATGAAGTGTTTATCTTTATCTTGCTGCTGCCTGAACAAGAAAAGCCTTTTTGCGACTGACATGTAAACTGAAATCTAATTAGCATAAATCTTTGACTTTTGTTGTATCTATGTAAATACTTTTTTAAACATACAAATATTTTCATAAATAAAATAAAAATGCATAAAACTGTAGTGTTTGATTTCCCCCCCCCCCCCACATTCCATCCTGCTCTCTTAACAACACGGATTCAAAACACATTTGAGTAAAAACCAAGCGATCTCATGAATTTATAACTGTCTGTTTATTAAACAAGGTAAAGATACAAAGCTTTTTTTCCTTTTTTAAACATTGACAACCTTAGTTTAACTCCTCAATCTTGGCTGTGCATATTTAGTTGTCTAGAAACTGTATATGAAACCACAATGCAAGACAGGAAAAGTGTAATAAATCTACGCAATATCTTTTCATAGAGAACATGGGTTAAACAGTTATCATACAGGTTACAGCTCAGGAACTCCATGCGGAAGGAAAAAAATGAAAATGCTTACACGACTGAATACTGCAGAACACAATACAGAGTAATGGAAATGGGATGATAAAACAGTTAAGGCTTACATGTAAATAACTGATATAAAACATGAATATTAATAACATATGGGTAGACTAAAATAATTACAGTTAATACATAAACTTTTACAAAACCCAAACAGAGCATGTTTATGAAAACTAAAAAATAGGTACTATAAATGAGTAACATGTTTTACAGTACAGCAACATGTACATTTTCCCATTATCTCAAAAGAGAGACTAAGTTGAAGAGGCAGGGTCTGTTGTTGGCGTAAATGTCTGTTTTCAGGCCAGTGGCTTGAGTAATACGTTTTTATTCTTTTGAAAACATACTATATACTGTATATGTATTTTACATTATTCTCAGTTCCATGTCAGACGTAACATCTAGCTGTAGCACCTTTTTCTGCAGTGCCCTGAAGAATACAGGGTACTCTATTAGTACCGTCCAGAGGTTAAAGTTACAGTAAAAATACAGCAAACAATACTGTGTACAATATAAAGAATACTAAAGGAGAAAATAACCTCAAAAGGAGAAGCATCAGCTCCACATGAACTCATAACATAGGCCTATGGAATACGACTTATACTGCAGTTCATTCCAAATGGGTAAAGCTTATTTAAGATTAAAAAAAAAAAAAGGATGTAACTGGGTTAGAGTAGCTGTACAATAACTTCACATTTTGGTCCAATGTTTGGGTTTTAAAATTGACCACTCAAGTAAAATTTGATTTCACCTGAAGAGGGTTTAAAAGTAGAGCTGGCACTGGTACATGTGCAATTTATTCAACCTTTTAAAAACTACAAAAATAATAGTCAAAGCTTAACGGAGTAGAGAAAGCAGACACACTATAACAAGAATAGCTTTCTCTTAAAACCTCAACAAGGTTCATATATGGCACTAGTTAACTGGACGCGAGGAAAAGACCATTTAAAAGCAGTGTTTGATCATACGTTATATGATCATAAAGGTGCCGTAAAGATGAATATGGAGTGAAAGGTTTTGGAATTTTAAAAAAACATTCATCCTTCTTCCCTTCTATGTTGCTCTACTTTTTGCCTCGCCAAGTCAATAATGCAACTTCTTAATACAATCATTAAATGTTATAATTGTCATCTACCGATTGCCTTCCTCAAATTTAGATGACCCTGTAAATGTGTACTTGCACAAATATGTGAATAAAAAACAAAGAAAGTAAAAAAAAGACTATTTTATACACAGTCAGTGCTTTTAGCTGCCACAAGTAATGCCCTTTGGCATTTTCCATCCAAACAAGATTGATACAATTTGAGCAAAAACCACAAGGCCTAAAAGTGCTTTAAGATTATCTTTGGATGTCTCCAGAATACACCCAGCAAACATGTTTTTCTATTCTCTCAATTCTCTATAAAGGGCAAATATCATCTGGCACATTTTGGAAACCCATTTCATGGAAGAGGAAAAAATAAAAGTAAAGGAACCTAAAACTAAAACATTTCTGATGGCCAATGCATCCGGCAGTTTACATGACGCTTACGAAAGTGCTTATTAAATCTGACGCAAGACATTCTTTGCCTCTCGATCCTCCGGACAACATCTAGCTGTATTTTTTTTTTATACATTCACAAAATAACGCTGTGCTCATTTTTGACAGACAGCCTGTGTCGAGATGGATCATGGAGGCAGCCTGTTTACTGAATCTAGCATTGAATGCTTATGTCAGCTGTCATAATGCTAATGTAAGCCTTATGTAGATGGCTGTGGGTGCATGGCCTCATAAGCTCCAGCCTAACATAGACTTTGAATCCGACCTGCTGCCGAGCGGGGGGGCTCAGATGAGGGAGATGCGGATGGGGATGTTGGGGGAGTCGGTCCTCTGAGGCGACTGGTGGCTCACTAGGTGCTCCACCACCGTGTGTTTGGACATGTGCTTCATAAGGTAGGTCTCCTACAAAACACAAGAAAACACACCACATGGGCAAAGTTAAGTCAATGACATTAATACAAATAAACATTTTTGCTTAGGCAAGGTAAGTTTATTTATATAGCACCTTTCAACGGAAGGCATTTCAAAGTGTTTTACAAAAATACAAGACATTAAGGGCATTAAGAAATAGTGCAGCAGAAACACGTTATAAAATTAAAAAGCAAAGATAATAAAAAACACATAAAACATGAATAACACAGGTATATAATACATGAATAAACCTGTCTATCAAAGCCTCCTCGAGACCTTTTTACATTTCTCAGAAACTTCCTTTTCTTTTTTAGATTCCCTGAATCTAGGATTTTAAACAAATTTCTCTTAGACAACCAGGATCGAGGGTTTTCAACCTATTTTTGATTCCCAGAATCAGGATGCTAAACCTATAGAAATGTCTTTAAGCCTCCCGGAAAAAAAGGTTACAGTGCATTGTACAAACATTTCATCTTTAAATGACATTTGACCCTTATAATTCCTCATAAACTAAGACATATTATAGTCTAACGCATCACTCAGTAAATAAATCAAGATGTCCAAACTGTAGCACACTTCTACCTTGTAGAGAGCTAAAGTAAACACATTAGAATTGGCGAAATAAGCTTTTATTGTGTTTTGTTTGAAATCAAACCTGTCCTGCATAAATGTAACATGGTTGAGAAGCACTCTCTTTAAGGAGCATAAGCAAAAGCTTCTTTTTTTTAAACCCACAGATACTAATATTACTTACTAAAAGATAAAAATAGGCAACATTTATCATTTTAGAAGCTAGGTCTAGCACGTTGTTGGCATTTAGCCGGATTTTTTTAGCAAGAACAAGTTAAAGTGTACTGCTAACTATGACAAACAGGAAACGCAGCGAGTGTTATCAAAGGCCATGATCTCCTCAGTTGATATAGAGTTAGACAGAAGGCCACAACTGGAATACCCTGACATACATCAAATCAACAAACGGATAACCTGTGGTCTACTCACTGAGGTGTATGCCCGGCCACACATGCTACAGCAGTAGGCCTTAGCGTTTTTGATGGCGTGCGCTGACAAGTGGATCTGCAACGATGCTGAGTCTGAGTAGGCACGGTAGCAGTTAGGACATTTATACGGCTTGTCTTTATTGTGCTGCCTCTGGTGAGACTGTTGGGGAGGAAACAGAGAAAATCTGTTAATTGTAACATCTTTCTACTTGTTGTATTATCAACTGTGAGACCATGTACTGACCTGGAGGTTAGACAGCTGGGTAAAAGCCTTTTCACATCCGGGGTTAGCACATTTATAAGGCCTATCGCCAGTGTGGATTCTGTGGCAGAAGAAGCAGAAACATTTTAGATTTGTAATGACTTTCACAACAGACTCTATAAATCCCAAGGCACGACTTAAAGATCTCCCATCATGCTATTTTTAGGCATATATTATGTTTCTCAGATATATACAAATATATTAAAAACATGTCTTATGATGTGTTTTGCTCAAAATACCAAACTGTTTACTACAAGGTGAGTTCCTTTTTTTATTTCCTGCTTTTTTACACATACTCTCTTCTGAGTGTTAGCGATGGTTGCTAATGTAAACAAACACCATATTACTTCCAAAACACGTAGCGCATTGTTTCTGATAGCGACGTTTCTTAGAGATTTGGGTACGGAGGAAAAGAGAGAGGGTCTTATTTTCTGATGCTTTGTGAGTTACCGGACACAGCGGGGACACATCTTTATGTATAAAAGACATCCAAAAGTGCTTTTTTGCATGATAGGAGACCTTTAAAACATCTCATACCCAGTAAGAGAAAACCAGAGACACAGAAATAAAAAGGAGTTTGAAAATACCCACTTCAAAATGCTGTTGTAGAATAGTATCTGAGAGTAGCATAGTAAGTTAGCGGTAGCTGCTAAACGGCTATTACTTTCCCTCACACTAGCTTGACCTCTGCTGCTTTGTGTTCACAGAAGCACCAACCTGGTGTGCTGCTGCAGGTGTGACAGCTGACGGAAGGAGTTCTCGCAGTAGGAGCAGTGGTACGGTTTGATGCCCAGGTGGATGCGCAGGTGCTGGGACAGGTAGGAGGCGTTGGCGAACGTCTTGGAGCAGTGGGGACACTTGTGAGGTTTAGCCTCCGTGTGGGTCTTGGAGTGAATCTGCATATCCGACTTGGTGAGGAAGGTGAGCGGGCATATTTTGCATCTTGGGGATGAAACAAGGACACATGAAACGTGATCAGATCAGGTTAATTTAGTCAACATCGTATCGAAAGAGAGGTTCAAAGAGTAAGAACATTAATGTTTTGATGTATTAAACCACTGCTGTCTCAACACCAAGACCACTTTAGTCCTTTTCTAGACATTAAAAGCAAAATATGACCAATTCTGAATCATCATTGAAATCCAAACTAGCACTTTGTCCCAATCATAGTAAGCAAGTATAGCATATTCAAGCATTCAAGATCAGTTTACAGCCCACTGAGGGAAACATTCATCCAATCAGGTTGAAGATAGTTTTGTTATGATGTCTCAGAGGAGCACATCCCAATCACCTACATTTGACTTAGGACCAAACTTGTCTAAAGCAAATGTCCATTGATCTTTTGTCGACCGCAATTCAATTTGGCGATTTGCTTTAAAAGGCCAGTGCTGAAAGAAAATATCCTCCTCC